TTTTCAAATACTTTTTAGCGGTTTTAATTGATGCTGCATCATCATCGTCAAATGTTTGTATAACTGAATGAATTTTTGAAAAATGTTCACAATAATACAAGGTGGCATTTATCCAAGTCCCCCATCTTGTTAATATGGGATCTGTTGGCAACGGAATCTCATTGTTTGATATATTTAAAAATGTTTTAATACGTATAGGTGATTTTCGAAACCCTTTTTTAACTGAGGCTACTACTTTATCAACATCTGAAAATTCACCACGAATTTTTTCGGCAATTCTATGAAATGCATGAGCAAGGCAAGTTAAATGTATGCATTTAGAGTAAAGGGTATTTATACATTTACCAGCCTTCACCATATACGGGGCAGCATCACTTAAAAACAATAAAACATTATCATGCTGAACTCCCTCGGGCCATAATATTCCCATTGTTTTGTCAAATAACTTAAATATAGTTGAATGATTAGTTTTCTCYAATTCTTCGCAATGCAATAAAAAAATTTCCCCTGCCCTATCAATTTCCAGTGTTCCTATTACAATATTTGCCACAAAACGTCCGGTGACATCCGTAGTCTCATCAACAGATACCCAAATTTTTTTTTTGTCAACATAGTTCCTAATTTTCAACAAAGTTTCTTGATAAATGTCGTCTACATACCCTTTAMGTAAAGTGGTTTCACTAGGTATGTTTTCATTTGTATATTTTTCTAAAAAGCTTTTGAACTCGTTATTCGATAATTTATTTAATGGAATATTTGATAAAAGCAAAGCTTTACACAAATCTTTGTTGAAAGAACTCTTGTTACCCAAGTCTTAGTTTGAAACTAATTGTTGTGTTACCTTATTTTTTTTTTTCATTCCGTTTTACTGCACTACAATGCTTTTCAGTTTTTAGGTGTTGGACCACATTGAATTGTTTATCACTTCCCACTTTTTTTTTCACATAGTACACAAAATAAAACGTGTCCATCGGATGTAAATGTATCTTTAAACTCCGAAACAAAACTTTGTAATCAGCTACTCGTAGACTGTTGTACTTTCGGCATTATACAATGTTACAAAATATACTCGCRCAACGTTTTACGTATGATTCGATGTTGCGTGGTTGCGAGACGGCAAGACGCACAAACAACGACGGATAATAATCGACTGAACTGAACACTAAACAATTAATAATCTATTATTCTATATCGACTATTATCTTTATCGACATTCGGTCGATATCCAGCGGGTTTTACGATCGATACGGGTTTATAGTATTCTTTATAGTTAATCCTTACACAAAAATTATAACGAGATATGAGAGGTAGTTTGCAGATAGCATATTACTAGAAGTATTAAGTCCTATTAATACATTTTTTTTTCAACCAGTTGAAATATGTAATATTAATGTATTTATGTATATGTAATATGTATCTATAGTTTTTAGTTTGAAATTTGAAATGTTTGTCAAAATATGCAAAATAAACATAAAAATGTTAAAATATGCACTCTCCTGCAAAATCTATCAAATATGCAAAAATATGCACATTCAAATTTTAGATCTGATATCGTGGCACYGAGAAACGAATTTATTTCGCACTCTGCTATATTTAACAATAATTAAAAAAAGTATGCAAATACTAGAAGTCCCTAAGCCTAATCATTAGCAATCAAATATTCTATGAATTTTGCAGACTTTATTTTAAATTTTAATGGTAATAATATATGGACACCTGACACCTGTGTCTACTAGTTGTTTAGTTGCTCAATGTCTATATTTTGAACACAGCATTAAGTTATTATTCTTGCCTAACGATTTAACACTTCTTAATAATGCAGTTTGTTATGATAAAATTACTTACTGCAATACTGTCTATAATGCAGAACATATTTTAACATGTTAGTATATAGGTTAAAAAAAATTATTTGTATTGATGAGAAAGTGTTGTTTTTTTGTGAATCTTTAAATGTATTATCATATAAAAAACATATAGTCAGTTATATTATTTCTAGAACTATAACTTCAAATT